AAAAAAAAAAAAAAAAAAAAAAAAAAAAAGCCTTTCTGTCCATGGTAGAAGAAAGAATTTGAAGTAGGCACCTCAAATTCAAGTGGCAAACAATTTAAAACTATTTAATGCTTGCCTTGAGCCAAAAGGAATCTACTAAGAGATTTATGATGGGTTTTGGGGCTTGCTTCTGCAGCACATGTACTAAAATGGAAAAAAGGAGGTTTTGTGGTGAGTTGTAAAAGCCCATCTTTAAATATATAAGATCTGCCTAAAGAAAGCCAAAGTTCCTCCTCACCCCCCACAAATTCAAAGGGGATCAAGAGCAAGAACTATGCATATTTTTGGCATCATAATGCAAAATTTTCATCATGAAACAATACCAAACTTCTGTGTTGTAGCCATACCTAGCATAGTTCTAGATTTTTTAAACTACTATTTCTGAAAAACAGTTACATTTGGCAATTACTCCACCCACTTATGGTGAAGGTCTCTGGGGTTCCTATATATACACCAAGTGCTAACAGGCTTCTTCAAGCAGCGGCTCTCTGGTGGACATGCCTGTGCTACAATACAAATATATATATATATTTTTTTTGGGGGGGGTACAGGGATCAAACTCAGGACCTTGCGCTTACAAGGCAGGCGGCGGTCCCTGGCCCTAATATAAATATTTTTTAAAAAATAACTTTGGTTATATACATTAACCACATTACATAGCCTATACGTGGCCCAAAACAGTTCCTCCTCACTCTTTGGGATCCAGGCAAACGTGGGTATCTAACTCGCCATCTGCAGACTGGCCACGCCTAACTCAGAACACAGGAGGGCACAGGGGATGGCAGAAGCCTTTGGCTCCACCCCGCCGGTAACACAACCTGCGCCCCGCCACTCCCTCGCCGGCACTACGGATTTCCGCCTTTTGGACTGCGGGCGGCCCGTAGCCGCTGCTACGTCACGTCCGGCCCTCGCGATTCGGCATTAGAACCCCCGCGATGAAGAGCGTGTTTGTTACTGTTGGGACAACCAGTTTCGACGAGCTCATAGAACGTGTGTCGGCACAGGAGAGTCTCCGCGTGAGTGGGGGAGTCGAGAGGGCCGCGGCTTGCCTACCGGCGCTTTGGCAGTCGCTCACCGCCTCTGGCTCTACCGCTAGTCTTAGCAACCCTCCCTGGCCGCAGTGTCCCAAAAAAATCTCCGCAGCTCTACCTCAGGTTCCCTCGTCCCCTTGCCCGGCCTCCCCCGCCTCCTCTTCCCGCTACCCTGCCGCCTCTCGGGCCGCTCCTCCCTTTCCTTTCTTGGCTCCTCCTCT